TACAGGAAGTTGTGTGCTTCCTAACATGAGCTAGGGTCTGACTTGGGTCTTCTAGAAGTGCTCTCACCCACTAAGACACCTTCCACTCCATATTTCTTTTAGTTTTTTAAACTCATTTGACTGCTACATCACTCAGCATGGAAGTCCACATTTCTGCTTCTAAAGCAGCCATGTCTTGAAGTGCCGTCTCCTGTGCTCTACCTACAAGGAAAAGACTACAAGGAAAGAGACTGGGCTGAAGCGAAAGAGGTGACACTTTTTTACCATGTACAAACAGTTCCATAAATGCAAATGTCTGAGTTCTGTAAGTCTAGATAAACATCGGTGTACCCCACATGACAGAAGTAGGCATTTCATGTTCCTAAGAATAAATCTCATGAAGATAAAAGAAGCCACAAGTTCAAGAACACACCTGCAATCCCAACACTGGGGAGAAGAAGCAGGAAGTCCGGAAGTTCAGCCATTCTCGCCTATATAGTGAGTTTGAGGTCAGCCTGGGCTACATGAGATCCTGTCTCAAAACAAACAAATAAAAACTCCCCAGGGCAGAACTTTATGGGAAAACTTATTAAATGTTTGGAAAGATATAAGAAGACCCATATGTAGGTATATGACATGACATGGATACAAAGTTTCTATAGGACAAGAGCTTAATATGGTCTATAGAGTCAATGTGACTCCAAGTGAAATTCATTTTTTTTGAGACAGGGTCTTACTGTGTAGCCCTAGCTGTTCTGGAACTCCCTATGTAGACCAGGCTGGCCTCTAACTCACAGAGATCCACCTGCCTCTGTCTCTCTAGTGTTGGGATGGGAATTAAAAGCTGTGGTGTTAGGATCACAAAAAAATTCTCTGGAGCTGGGGAGATACCTCAGTGGCTAGAAGTACTTCCTGTACAATCATGAGGACCTGAGTTTCAGCCCTCAGTATCCTCATTGATTTGTTTTTAAAGGCTAACTATGGCTGCACACATGGCTATAGTCCTGGTACTGTGGGGGAATTCAGAGATAAGGAAATCACTGGACTTGCTTGCTTCCAGTGTCTGCCAGAATCAACGAGAGACCCGTCTCAAGGGATTGAAGATAGAGCAGGTCACATAATATCTTCTTTTGGTCTCTGCATGAACACACAGCGGTGTACACACATATGATTGCACACCAGACACCACACACACAGACACACACACACACAGAGGAATGCACCCTAAAATACTTTTCACTCAGAAGTCCCAACTCAAAGTGAGTTGGAAACAGATCAATTGCTCCAAAGGACACAGCTCAGCTTTGAATCGTCCTAATCACTAAAATTAGTTTGATTATCTCAAACTGATCAAGATTCCGGATGCCTTGAAGAACAAAGAGAAGTTCATTTTGGAGGAAGAAAATACTACCCTCCCCAACCTACAATTATTTCTAAAAATATTTTTTCAGCACAATGCCTATCACATAATCAGAAGTACCCAAGCACATAAAGAGAATATTAATGAGGGAATAACGACAAATGAATTTCCCCAAAATTAGCGACAGACAATAAATCAAAGACCCAGGAGTCTCAATGAGGGCCTTACAGCGTAAACACTAGCTAATAAACCTCATCTAAGGATATCATACTTAAACTGCAGAAACCCAGAGACATAGAGACAACCAGTGGAAATACCCCACCCACCTACAGAGGAACAGGGGCAAGAACAGTGTGGTATACTTAAGAAAGAAAAAAAATATGCCCAACCGTCTTAAACGAAGAAATGAAAAAACAGCCAAATAGATAGTGATTTCTCTTGTTTCTGAATAGGAAGAGTCAATATTGTTACAGTAACATTTTAAAACAATTAGTGTGTATGCATTTGTGTGTGTGTGTGTGTGTGTGTGTACACATGGGTGTTGAGATCAGAGGACAACTTGTGGGAGTTGGTTCTTTCACACTACCACGGCCGGGCAGTGGTGGTGCACACCTTTAACCCCAGCACTTGGGAGGCAGAGGCAGGTGAATTTCTGAGTTTGAGGCCAGCCTGGTCTACAGAGTGAGTTCCAGGACAGCCAGGCTACACAAAGAAACCCTGTCTCGAAAAAAACAAAACAAACAAACAAACAAAAAACCCGAAAAAAACCAAAAACACACTACCATGTGGGATTAAATTCAGGCCATCATGCTTGGTGACAAGTGCCATTATCGATACACTGAGCCTCTAAGGGCCACAGAGTCAGTTCTTTCTTGTATCTTTTTTTTTCTTCCAATGTGATCTACATCAATGCAAATCCAGTCAAAGTTCCAGGGAGCTACTTTATGGGTTTAGTAATTGTCTGTTTAACACAAACTAGAGTCACCTGGGAAGAGGAAATTCCAACTTCATTTCTTCCATTAGATCAGTCTGTGGCCATGTTTGTCAAGTGAGAGGGTCCAGTCCACTCTAGGTGGCACCAACTCTAGGCAGGTGGAATTGGGCTATATAGCATGCTTTTAAGCAAGCAGAGGGAGCAAGCCAGTAAACGGCATTCTCCCAGGGTTTCTGCTCCTACTTCCTTCAGTGATGAATTGATCATGACCTGAGAGTAGTAAGTTGAAAAAAAAACCTTTTTCTTCAGAAGTTATTTGTGATCATGGTGCTTTTCGAAGCAACAGGAAGCAAAGTAGCACAATGAGCATTTGGCCAACTGGCTCTGGAGTTTATATACACTGGGGCAAAAAGTAGATAACAAGGTATCAAAAGATAACAAAGTCGGAGCATTGATGATATTTAATTTTCAATTTGTCGCAGAATAAATAAAACCATCCTTAATTTTAAAAAGACCCAATTATGCACACTTTTTAAGTTACTTGCTTTAAATGTAGCTATAGTGCTTGGAGTTATACCTCAGTGGAAGAGTACTTGCCTAGCAAGGATCAGTTCAAGGCTGGGCACAGTAGCACACACCTGCACTCCTAGCACTGTAGCAGAAAAGAACCCTGAGTTTGAGGATAGCCTGGGCTATGTCATGAGAGCCTGTGAAAGAAAAAGAAAAAAAAAGTTGCTCCACCAATAAGAAAACACAAATTTGAGAAGTAGATGTATCTCCAAATGAACTACTAAATACGGGGTGCATAAATGACCACAGGCGTGCACACCTGTGACCTCACAACTTGGAAGTGGAAGCAGAAAGAGCAGGAGCTCAAGGTCCTACTCAGCTCATAATGAGTTAGTGGCCAGCCTGGATGACATGAGACCCTGTCTCAAGAACATGCAGCTAGCCGGGCAGTGGTGGCGCACGCCTTTAATCCCAGCACTTGGGAGGCAGAGGCAGGCGGATTTCTGAGTTCAAGGCCAGCCTGGTCTACAGAGTGAGTTCCAGGACAGCCAGGGCTACACAGAGAAACCCTGTCTCGAAAAAACAAAAAACAAACAAACAAACAAAATAACATCTTAAGAACATGCAGCTAGAGAGTTGGTTCAGCAGTTAAGAGCAATAAAGGACTTGGGTTTCATTCCCAGCACCCACAGGGAGGCTTACAAAAGTTCTGTAACTCTAGTTCTAGGGGATCTGACACTGTCTTCTGGCCCCAATGGCACCAGGCATACATGTGCTCCACATACATACCTATGTGCACCATACATATATGCATGCATGCACACATATATACACATATACATGAATGCAGGCAAAACTCATACACATAATAATAAATAAAAATGTTTATGTAAATTTACTGTGTCTGTGATGTGTGTAGTGTGTGCGTGATGTGTGTGTGATTTGTGTGTGGTGTGTGTATGTGTTTGTGTAATGTGTATGTATGTGTGTGTATGTGTATGAAACATGGGTCATGGCATGCTTGTTGAGATCAGGAGTGGGCTCTCATTCCACGTTGTTGAGGGTCCCTCTTGTTTCTGTGCTCTGCTAGCTGGCCCTCGTGACTCTCCTGTTTTTCCTCCCTTGTTGCCACAGAAGTGCTAGAATTACAGATGCGAAGGTCTGCTCCTGGCTTTTCCACGTGAGTTCTGGATATCCAACTCAAGTCATCAAGCTTGTTTGTTAAGAGCCTTTACATGCTTGGCCATCTCGCCAATCCTTCATCTTTATGAATGTGTGCTTGTGCAAGGGGGAATGCGGAGGTAAACACTTAAGCTCTGTGATTTGTCCGACAGCTTTTAAGATATTAGCACACACGATGTATCAATTTCCGTTCCTTCTTTTGCCCTCAGCTGTGCAAATGCTAGGGGCGCCTTACGCCCTAACTTCTTTGACCCGAAGCATCCTTTTCAGGAAAAGAACACTCCTGAGTCACAGAATAGGGAGGAACCAGGCACGAGCTCTGGGTAAATATGATCATATAAGTTCTCTCGCTCTCCTGTGTTTGGGGGCTTATTTTAATATACAAGAGACGAGAGTGTGTTTGAGCAAGATGAGGCTGAAGATACCGGAGAGGTGTGCCCAGCCGGATGGGCTCCGCAAAACTGGCTTCGTTAGTAGGGCTAGAGAGGTGGAAACCCTATCTGCCCCACAGAAAACGGTCTGGCTGTTGGAGGTGTGCAGGAAGGCATCGTCTCCGACTCCAGCAGACAGCGCCACGGATGACGAAGCTACTTCCCATCCACGGCCACGCCCGCACACCCTCCACACACAGGGCAGCGGAGGGTCCGGTTGCCATGGAGAGCTGGAGCGCGTGAGCCCAGCCGCCCCTCTCGCCCCCCCCGCCCCAGCTCAGCCGACTCCCTCTCTGATTGGTCACCGTTATCTCATTATGCAAATCACTTGCGTAGACTCGCCCTGCTAGCTGTCTGACGTCACTAAGCTCGGGGGCTGGGGCTCGGGGCTGGGCTTGGCGCGCTAGGGCGGGAGCCAGGAGAGCTCTGACGGGGGACTCCAGCCGGACCCCGGCGCCCCGCCCTCGACCACGCCCATTCCGCCCCGCCCCGCCCTGAGCTCGCGGCTGGGCCCCGCCCCCTGGGCAGCCCCCCGTCCTCACAGGCGGGCCCCGCCCCCTCCCCCAGGCCCTCGCCAGCAGTCCAGGGAAGGGACGGCGGGACAGGCGGGACGCTCGGGAGAGCGGACGGGGCGGGGACATGGCCTCGGCTCCCGGAGGGTCTGCGCCGCCCGCCGGCCCCGGCCCGCGCTTGGCTTTCAGCACCGCGGACAGCGGCGTCGGCATGAGCGGGCTGAACCCAGGTCCCGCGGTGCCCATGAAGGACCACGACGCCATCAAGCTCTTCGTGGGGCAGATCCCGCGGGGCTTGGACGAGCAGGACCTCAAGCCGCTGTTCGAGGAGTTCGGCCGCATCTACGAGCTGACGGTGCTGAAGGACCGGCTCACCGGCCTCCACAAAGGTGCGCGGGGTCAGCCCAGCCCAGCCCAGCCCAGCCCAGCCCAGCCCAGCCCAGCCCA